TTTATCTGTTTTTTTTTCTTTTGTTGCTTGTGCTTTTGTTGCCATGTTTAAGTCAGTGTTGCCTAAACCAGGATTGTGAAGATGTATACATTGTTTCCTTCTGAGAGGGTTACAGTTTTAGGTCTTAGATCCATTTTGAGATAATTTTGTGTGTGCTGTGAGTAAAGGGCCCAACTCGGTTCTTTTGTGGGTGAATATCTGGTTGTCCACCCCTGTTTGTTGAAAAGTCCTGCACTATTGCATGGTCTTGGTATCCTTGTTGAGAACAAATTGATCATTCATTTTTATTACTGAGGTCTTTCTTTATTACTTAGATCTCTTTCAGTGTGTTTTGTAGTTTTTAGTGAACTTTCTTGGTTAAGTTTATTCCTAAGCAATTGTGTGTGTGTATATACACAATGTATATATATATATTTGATGCTGTTACAAATCAAATTGTTTTCTTAATTTCATTTTTGGAGTGTTCATTGATAGTGTATAGAAATATAACTCATTTTTGTATATTGATATTATATTATGCAGCTTTACTGAGTTCACTTATTAACTCTAATAGTTTTTGATGGATTCATTGGGATTTTCTGTGTGTAAGACTCATGTTATTTGTGAATGGAAATAAGACTTCTTTTTTTCCCTCATAGCTCAGTTGGTAAAGAATCTGGCTGCAATGCAGGGGACCCTGGTTCGATTCCTGGGTCAGGAAGATCTGCTGAGAAAGGATAGGCTACCCCCTCCAGTATTCTTGGGCTTCCCTTGTGGCTCAGCTGGTAAAGAATCCGCCTGCAATGCAGGAGACCTGGGTTCACTTGGGAAGATCCCCCGGAGAAGGGAAATGCTACCCACTCCAGTATTCTGGCCCAGAGTCTTCCATGGACTGTATAGTCTATGGGGTTGCAAAGAGTTGGACACAACTAAGCAACTTTCACTTTTTTCCCCTATCTGGATTCCTTTTATTTCTTTTTCTTACCTAGTTACCCTGGCAAGAATTTCCATTACATTGTTAAACAGAAGTGGTGAAAATGGACATCATTATCTAATTTTTTTATCTTAGGGAGAAGACTTTAAGTCTTTTAACTTTAAATATGATAATTGTAAGTTGTTTTTTTTTAAATAAATGTCATTTATTAGGTTGAGGAAGTTTCCTTCTGTTACTACTTTGTTGAGGTTTTAAAGTTATTATTTTTTAAAAATCATTGAAAGTATGTTGGATTTTTGTCCAGTGTTTCTTTTGCGTCAGTTGAGGTAATCATATAGTTTTAAAATATTTTCTTTTATTCTGTTAGTGTGGTGTATTACTTTGCTCAATTTTTGTGCTGAACTACCCTTGCATTCCTGGGATAAATCCCTCTTGGTCATGACTGCTAAATTTGAATTGCTAGTATTTTGTTGAGATTTTTACATCTGTATTCATAAGGGATATTGGTCTAGTATGTTCTTGCTTCCTTATAATCTGTTTTTCACACTGTGGCCTGAGTGACCTTTTTAAAATGTAAGTTTGAACATAGAAATAAATTTCCCCAGTTTGAAAAAAAGCTATTAGAAATGCATAGCAAACATTATACTAAAAGGCAAATGCTTAGAAACATTTTCATTAAAGGTATTGACAAAATAAAGGAACTTATTATTTTTGCTAATATTATATTGGACTTGAAGTCCTAGCTAAAGTGAAATAGCAGGAGAAGAAAATGAGAAATTAACATTGGAGCAGAAAACATAACTGTTAGTATTTTTGAACAAGATTTATTATTGACTTAGAATATTGAAGAGAACCACATAAGTCTTTTAATATTTCATAAGTTTGCCAGAAAAAGTTTATGTAAAATCGCACTAAAAAAATAGCACTTTCCACATACTCTCAATATGTGATTAGAAAATGTAACTAATATAGAGTGATTTTTATAGTTATTTAGAATACAGTTGTTTGATTTTTAAAATCAGAAGGAAAATAATGGACTGTTTTGTAAATGGTTCCAGCCAAAAATGTTTGTGCATATTAGAGAAAATAAGACTCCTGTGGAGTTGAGAGCAGCAGAAATGAAAGTAGTCAATGTAAGGAGACAGTATCAGAGGATTGTTTTATTCAGAAATAGTTATTGAAAACCCTTTGGCTGATTGTTTTGGGCACATATTGTCTCATTTAAAATAACATACATATATTTCTACTCCTGGAATTTTCACGTTTAGGTATTATCTGTCTGCTGACTTTTTGCCATGGAGGATAAGGGTTTGGTCTCCTTTCACACTCCACCACATGTGTGTATCTTCTTTTTTGCCCTTGTTCTTCTTGTAATTTGACTTTATTTCTAGGTCTAAGTGAATATTGCCATTTTTTAAAAATAGCTTTATTGTGATACAATTCATATACCTTAAAATTCTCCTGTTTAAAATATGCAATTTAATGGCTTTTAGTACATTTATAGAGATGTGCATCTATCAACACTATCAAGTACTGAACATTTCATTGCCCTAAAAAGAAACTTGACACTTTTTAGCTGTCACTGCTCAATCTCTCCATCTCCAGCAGCCCTAGGCAATCACTGATCTACCTTTTTTGTCCCTTCTGATTTGCCTGCTCTCAACATTTCTTATAAATGGAATTATATGTGCTCACTTGTCACTGACTTCTTTCACTCAGCATGTTTTCAAGGTTCATTCATGTTGCACATGTATTGATGCTTCTTTTTTTTTCCTAAATATTACACTACAGGGATTTGTTATATTTTGTTTATCCACTCATCAACTGATGGATATTTGGGTTGTTTCCATGTTTTGAATATTTTGAATAATGCTGCTCTGATCATTCTGGTGTAAGCGTTTGTGTGAACATGTGTTTTCATTGTAAACTCTTTCTAAGGAAGATACTAAGTCAAAAGTTGCAAAGGCAATAATATATAAAAAGTTAAAACTTTGGTGCAAAAAAATGCCATAAACAAGTTGATTTTTAAAAGTGAGTGATAGGGAAGAGATCTGGTATATAAATACTGAATTAATGTCTGTAATCTAAAAATTTATTATTTGAAATGCAAACGACAACTCTAATAAGATAGGTAGACAGTAAGGACAGCCAGTTCAGAAAACAAATGACAAATGATTATTAAACCAATTTAACTTTTGTTCCTATGATTGGGTGAAATCTGATATATAATGATATTTCCCCATATATTGTCAAAGATTTGTAATATTCAGAATAACATGTATATTATGATATTCTCAATGATTCCAGTGATTCTCAATAATTTATTTATTGAGGTCCCCTTACTGACCTGAAATGAAATGTATAGATAATGTAAGCAGCTGACACACATAATTAAAAAAAAAATTCTTAAATATAATAATGAAAGCAAAAGAGGTAATTTATGGCAGAATAACATTTCAGTATGTAATTTTTCTGCTGTGATCATTAAAATATAAATAAGTTAGAATTTAAGAGAAGCAAGAAAACTAGAAATCATTCGACAAAGTAAATAAAGACAAATAAAAAACAAATGATATAAGGGTATAAATAGACCAAACTTATTGTCTATGATAAGAGACTGAGGAAATAGCCTGAATTGAAAAAGGGGTAATATACCAAGATAAATTTGATACTCAGCAAAAGTGATAGTCTTACAAATGAGCTCCACTTTACTTATTTCTTTTTGACTTAAAATAATCCTCTATTGGGATGTGGAACAGGGTGGTGACAGAGTAAATTGTAAGATTCAGTTCTCATTGACACCGAGTCAGACAGAAGTTCATTTACCAGTAATAATACTTGAAAATGCAGTGAATGTAATTAGACTTAACATACATTTTGTTTTCTTGTTTGATGGGTACCATGTAAAACAGAATTAATTAGAATTCCTGTAATTTTAGGACAAAAAGCCTGTACTCGAAAATTCTAAATATAAGTGACTTTGGGTTAAGTACATGGGACAGAGTCAGGAGAGAAACCTGGGGTGGAAATATTGAAAACTATGTAATATGGCAAATGGAGTAGTTGAAGTATTAATCCCTAGTGGCTCAGATGGTAAAGAGCCCGCCTGCAATGCAGGAGACCCCGGGGTTTGATCCCTGGGTCAGGAAGATCCCCTGGAGAAAGGAATGGCAACCCATTCTTGCCTGGAGAATTCCATGGACAGAGGAGCCTGGTGGGCTACAGAGTCCACAGGGTTGCATAGAGTCGGACATGACTGACTGACTATTAAACACACATACACACACACACACAAAAGCAAAAAAAAGCTGATCCCATAATGCTTGCCTGTGACAAGAAATTGTTAGCTATTGTGTACTTCTATGTATACTAAAGATAATAAAACTGTATTTTAAATAGTATTTCATAATTTAGAATTTGTATCAGTAAATGTGGCCTTCCTACTCTTTAGTCTGATTAAGCTATGTAAAATTTAAAACGTGTAAAATTGTAAAATGTGGCATATTACCTTGGTGGTGCGTAAAGAGGGAGGAATTGAAGGGGACGTGCTGTTACCAAGTTCTCTAACAGGCTGAATAAAAGTGGTGAATGTTAAATATCAGATTGATTTTATAAATATGTATACCACATTTTTCAAAAATATGTTTGAAAAGGATGGTAAACATGAAAATTAGGATAAAGCTCTTGAAGCGAACCTCAGAGAGGTGGTAGATTCCAAAGTCCCAAGTTAACTAGCTGTGTATATATGGGATTCTGTACCCTGAACTGGAAAGACTGATGCTGAAGCTGAAACTCCAATACTTTAGCAACCTGATGCAAAGAGCTGACTCATTCGAAAAGACCCTGACGCTGGGAAAGATTGAGGGCAGGAGGAGAGGGGGACGACAGACGATGAGATGGTGGGATGGCATCACTGACTCAATGGACATGAGTTTGGGTGAACTCCGGGAGCTGGTGATGGACAGGGAGGCCTGGCGAGCTGCGGTTCATGGGGTCACAAAGAGTTGGACACGACTGAGCGACTGAACTGAACTGTACCCTAAATACATCACTAACTCAGATGCTTTTTTGTTTCCCCCTTAACTAGGAATTGTGGTGCTTGGAATAAACAGAGCCTATGCCAAAAATTCATTGAGTAAAAATCTTATAAAAATGGTGAGTGTAAAGATTAAATTGTTTGCTTCTAAGATTATGGTACTGTGTTGACACCAACCTGAAAATGATTTTTCCTCTTTTCCTTCTTATCTTCCCTGTTTCCGTTTAGCTCTCAAAAGCTGTGGATGCTTTAAAATCTGATAAGAAAGTACGGACCATAATAGTCAGAAGTGAAGTCCCTGGGATATTCTGTGCTGGTATGTAAAAAAGATTAAATTTTTAAAACTAGTCTAATGTTTCCTTAGTAGTACCCTGTTTTCCACTATAAAGTGTTACGTGGTTTGAATTTCATTACCAACAATTCCTCTTTGATTTTTTTACTGTTGTTACAAGAAAAAAAAAAATGTTTTCTCAGAAAGAAATCTTTGCAACATGTGGAGAAGTTGTTTTGGAAGTTGAAAAAATAGTTTGAGCAATTAAAATATTGGTTTGTTGTACTTGAATGATCTTTATGAAAGACGAGCTGGGAAGGAAAAATTGTGTCTCCTACTCAAAACAGTGTGCTCTGTGTTTATAAGTTACTTAAAAAGTATTTCAGCTGACTAGCAGTAGCTACCCCAGTGTAAATGTTAAATGTAGACATATGCTTTGGAGGTGTGTGTTTGTAGTAGTGCCCACTCAAGTATGTGTCCACAAATTGTGTTTTTAAATTTGTATCTACAGCAGTGAAGTGTTTTTTTTTTTTTTCTGTTTGTGCTGTGTTACCAAAAGCCAAAGATTAAGTTGCCTTGCATTTTCCATATTTGTAAGTATTTCTAAGTCATGAGATTGAATGAATCTGTTTCAGCTAGTCAAAAATATAGATGATTAAGATAAATAAATGCTGATAATACACAGTATTATTGTATTTTATTAATAAGTAAATGAAGGTAGAAGTTGAGGGGTGAAAAAAATTTCTTCCAGTAAACATATAAATGGGATAATCTACTTGAGATAATCAAAGATTTGAGGGAACAACATATAGTATTTTATTCATTCAAGTACTTTTGAGCATTTGGAGTACTCCCAGAGCAGTGCTGGGAACATGGGGGAGTATTTTTAAACAGAATGTTTTAAAGAAGTGTTTTGGTTTAGACCCATATTCTTTAGTTTGTCATTTTTAGATTTTTCAAGCTTCTAACTCTGTAGCTTCCACCTTAAAATACTGTAAAATTTTATGGTGTTTAAGAATATTCAGTGTAAATGAGTTATATTGTAGTTTTTGATATAATGCCCCGTATATAAAAGGATGAGTTTTAGCTTCAGTTTGGTGATCAAAGAGAGTAGGTTTATCATGCTCAGCTGCCTGAGTGAGGACAATTTGCTGTATTTCTGCTGTGTCTACATTTGTCCCGCTTGAGTAATGCTGTCCTCCTGGTGTCAGAGGCTTGACGTGACAGTGTACATAACACACAGTGTTATGGGTCAATATACTGTGTAACTGTTAATAGTTCTTATAAAGACTAAAATTTATTAAAATTGTTTTCATAATATGAAAAACTTACACCCAGTGCATTAGAATTCTTTTATCTGTGACCTTGGGATCTGGCAGCTATGTTTCCAGGTGACTGAATCCAACATCGTGACTGATGGCTCTGAGGTCACTACACCCAGGTCCTTTGAGGGCTGCTGAGGGGCTTATTGGGAAGATACTGAGCAGTTTGGGGGCTTTTCAGGAAAGCCTAGTTATATGACTCTTGGGGCATGATAGTGGTAGTGGCAGAACAACACTTCAGAAAGAAGGGTTGATCATACCTCGCATTACTTTCTTTCTGTTTTTGATGGGATTTGTATTTATAACACTATAATTACTGGTAGAATTCTTTTTATCTATTCCTTTGCTGTCCATTTGTTTTGTGTCTCCACATTATCAGTATTTGGAAAAAGCTTTAGTGCTTTCATACAGTTTACAGCTATCTTCTATAGATTTCTGTTTTGGGGGAATGTACTAAGTAATATATCAAATGCTCTACCAGATTAACATATTAACCTTGAATACTTTTTCCCAAGGGTTTATTAAATCTACTTTCTTTGTTCTGTGTGCTTTTGCATGATCAGGATAGTTTTTCCTATATTTTAACTCATAAGACTTGTTACTGTATTTTGTCCAAAAAAAGTCTGAGTTATAGAAAAATTAGGGCAAATTGTTTTATTAACAGTATATATAATAAAACCATTCTTCCAAATTTCTTTGAAAGGTTTTCTTTTCTTACATATATTTGAAACAGGCAGCTTAGTAGGTCTGTCTTTATTACTGTGTACACATTAAGTGTATTGTAAGTTTAGATACACAAAAGCTCTTTACATACCTAAAAAGAATATTTAAGCTTATAGCCTATGAAAATAGTAGTATAAAAATATTAATTTTAATCAGACCTCATTTATTCATTCTTGTTGAAGAATACAGTCTTTCACATAATTAGAGTGTTAACTTTTATTCTGAAGTAGTCATCTTCAAAAGAAAAATCCTCACAAATAATGTACTCATTTATTGGTTATTCTCTTAGCTCCCCATTCCCTAAAGTTACTCATTTTACCTCTTCCCTTTCTGCCCCCACAAAGGTTTCTCTTCTCTGTACATCTGTGTTCTAGTGGCATTTTGTTCATTTCCAGAAACTTAAAGCTTATGAAGTGATCTTGCCTCAAATTTCTTGAGGATGGTAACTTCTCTTTTTCTTCCTTGAAAATCTTCTTATATATTCTCACATCACAGTACATAATAGAGACTCACCATGTACTTGCTGAATTTAATCAGCCTTTTGGAGAAGTAAATGGCAACCCATTCCAGGATTCTTGCTTGGAGAATCCCATGGACAGAGGAGCCTGGCAGGCCACAGTCCATGGGGTCGCAAGAGTCAGACATGACTTAGTGATTAAACCACCACCACCACCAATTAGCCTTTAAAGTGTGCTGTGATTCCCTGATTTTTTTTTTTCCCAAGGATTATTGGGTTGTGAGCAGTTTCTCTGAAATTATCTCAGACTTCTCTCCTATTCACTGACAGTATCTCTGGCTCTTGCCTTTGGTTCTTTTTTCTGTGTCCTTTTCCTAATATACTAGAGGAACAGGTAATTAAGCATTATTAAAGTGATTCTGGTGGTTTGGGGGAGAATGGATACATGTATATATATGGGCGAGTCCCTTCCTTGTCCACCTGAAACTACTACAACTTTGTTAATTGGCTATACCCCAATATAAAATAAAAAAGTTTAGATATTAAAAAAAAAAGTGATTCCTACATGCACTGGAGGTTGCACTGATTGATTTCTGACTTTTCATTTAAATATGTTATTTAGAAGCAAAAATTATATTTTACTTGCCTTAACATTTTTAAAGGAAATTTTAGTTTAAATAATAAGTAGTGTGTCAAATGTATGAAATGTGTACAAAATGTTTGAAAAAGTATACAAAGAGAAATCCCATTCTTACCCATTCCATTCTTTTCCTAATAAAAATAGCAATTTTAATTTTCTTTTTTATCCTTCTAGTTTTCATTATACAGATATATACAAATATACAGACATATACACATGCACGCAGTAGAATGTTAAGGAACAATTTAGAATGATAGTATGAAGACTATGTTATAGTGTGAAAAATACATGTTATAAGAGATAGCTACGTGTAAAAATGATATTCCCATTATGACTGCACCTGTGTAAACTGTGTCTGCAGATGTGGTTCAGCTTTCTGTAATAAGTATATTAAGTTGTATTAAGTGAATATACACAAAGAAAATAATTTTGAAAAAATTAGCAAATGTATTTAGTGTATTTTCTAGCTTTGGTAACTAAAATCATAACATTAATTGAATTTCTGAATGATTGTTGCAACATTTGAGAGGAAAAATTTTAGAGTGTAAAAACCTTATGTCACAGTTCAGATGCTTTCATTTAATATAACCTCTGTGAACCTAAGTGCCTGTTTAAAGGTGGTGGCTTTGCTGGAATTACTTCTGACTCCTAGGGTAGGGTTTTTACTAAGTCAGTGATTTTTAATCTTTTGGGGTATGAGGTCTCTAAGTTCTTAAAATTTCTTGCACTTATACAGTCACCTATGGTGACTGAGAATATGTATAATGTCATAATGGCATTCTGATCACAGTAATATAGTTAAATGAATTTTCTCTGATTAACTGCAATGAAATCTAGAGCACAAAAATGTATATCATAGCCATTATGACTGTAAATGTTTTTTACACATGCTTTCAGATATTATGCCATATCTGCAGCATGACTCTAGGTTGGGAATCAGTGTTACGTTTTCTTTCTTGTGGATTTGAGCATTGCTTCTGGGTTTATGACTTGCATATATTTTTCTTAGAATACTGAGAAATACCATTTTGATAGTTAGAGTTCATTGTGAAGTACTGACTGATTTTATCTTGTTTCTTACATGCACAGAAACACGCATACCAAAAAAACTGAAATAATTTTTACTGTTTCATAATGTTTGAGTCAAAATTTTAACATTATCTGTAATGAAATTATGAGAAAGACCTTTTAACTAGGCTATTGTATTGGATGTAAATGTTTACTCCTACTCATCTGTTCATTTTCTTGTTCTTTTAGTGTTTTAACACTAGGTAGCAAAGTATGTATGTATTGTTTTTATCATAAAAATTTTATGAGAAATTACTGAATCTGAGGATTTTTTTTTTGTCTTGAAATTCCTGAAATAGATTATAAGCAATTCTTGGTAATTGATTCCTGTATGTAGAACTCTAAATTGAGTGATTCACTGAATTATATGACTACGGTTTTTTTTTTTTAAGTAAAGGTACTTTTGCTTCTGCTTTTGAGTTCTAGTAAATTAGTTCTGACTAAAAACTTGTCGCTAAAATTGTCAGCATGCTTTATTGAGTGATGTATTGTTCAAGTGGATGTAGATGTCCTGACAGTTAGATATGTGGAGTCCTCCGACTAATGAAGTTATTTAGAATCTCAAGTTAAGTTATATTTGTTAATTTAAATGTTAGTGCCTTAGAGAGTTTGATAAGTAAAGTGAAAGGATACAAATTTGTATTAATTCCAGGTAGGGTTCTTTTTTGGAAGTAAAAAACCTGTGTTATAGACATAGGCATTACTTGCAATAAAATGTACCTGTTTTAAGTACACATGTCAGTTTGATAGGTGTTTAAACTGTGAAGACAGTTGTGGTATACAACATAAAGCTTTCTTTTCTCATTTTTAATTGAAGTGTGACTGACTTGTATTA